ATATATATATATATATATATATATAGAAAAGTATCATTTTAACAGTAAAGATATTGAGCAAGAGAAGTGTAGAGCACACTAAACACAATGCATATTTAAATGCTCTTTGTACTTTAATATATTTAATGTTTTATGAATGCAATCACAGTGTATTATATTTTTGTGTTATTCAGTTATTTACTACTTATAAAGGACAAACCCGGACTAGATCCTCAACAGTAGGGTGACCAGACTTTTAACTCATTAAATGGAGACACACTCGGATTTCCAGATCCCCCCTCCCCCTTTCCTTAGGAAAAATTATAAACAGTCAGATATGAAAATAGTAAATATAAAGTGAAAAAAATATTTTTATTTACGTTATTGTTGTTTTAGATACTTCTCTGACAAGTGAATTTTTCAAGCAACATTTTGTTGGTCAGAGGTTTGTCAAAATTCTGAGCAAATGTCATTCATGTTCACCATTGAGTTACTTTAAGTTAGTGCTTCACAACTTGGTAGGTAATAGAAGCTGCCATTTGCATTCAGCTATTTCTCTTTTGGCAGGTGAAATATCACATGCTCAGTGACCTTTGCACTAGAGACATCATGTCATCTGCTGTAGCCATTTCACAGGTAGCAGCAAAGCAGTCATTCTATGCTGTACAATAATTTTCTACTCAATTTAAAATACTTATCTGTTATTTCCTATTGTCAGGTCCTTAAAGTACTGAACATGAACACCAGTATAAAAAGTTACAGATTACTGACAGAAATGAAAACCAGGTCATTTAAGCATCTCAACTGGATCTATCAGGGCACCAGGACAAAATTCCAAAAATGGGGACATCTGATAACCCTACTCAACAGTAGCATAGTCTTTGAGCATCCATAAGTAGGAAAATTTGTATAATATAGTTACATTTACATATAAGAGATTTCACAGTAAACTTTAAAGCTCTTTCTTAACAAAATAAACTTTCTCTTACATTTGTGTAATTTTAAATACTTTTGCTCAACTAGAGTTTTATGATACACTTGGTAGGTCAAGTCTTTCTGGAACATGATTAAGATGACACATTACATACCATTTAGACTTACTACAATTAGGTTGTGTTATGGTGAGACAGGTACAAATGTATGGTAGCTATTGAAAGTTGTTTTTAGTTGCAGTTTATGCTGTTATTTAGTCGACAAGGAAAGTTGCGCCTTCAGAAATGGTATGTAGCACACCCTGATAAGCAGAAAAAGAAGATTACCAGAGAGTTACTAGCTATATTGTTGGCAAGAAAACCAAAAATGTGTTCTTTCTTGGAATGGAAGGACTTAAAGATTGTCTATAAGAGGTAAGCTATTGATTCAGTGAAATTTCTTATGTGGTTATAACTCTGTTACTTAGACATACAAGGTAAACATTAACAACAAACATCACTGAGGTTAATTATATAATCAATGGCTATTAGGCCACATCCTCTTATTCATGAGCTCTATACAAGTAGAATGCATGCATACCATCACGTGCACTTGTAGCAACAGAAGTAACAATATATATATAAAGCACAAAAATCTGTGTGTCTCTCTGTTTGTCCCTTATCTAACTACTCCTAGGTTGCTGAGCTGATCTCAACCAAGCTTTGTGGGATGATAGTTTGGAACAAGGGACATGTTAATGAGGGATTCACAACCCCTCCACGCCATTATTGATGTTATTGAGCATTTATTATCTCTGATGTAAGTTAATGTTAACTACGTTCATAGAAAATTGCACATTCTCACACCAAACAAAACAAAAAAACGTTATTCAATTTTCCATCCTCCAGTGGGACAGTGGTAAGTCTTCAAATTTACAATGTTAAAATCTGGGTTTGATTCACCTCATTGGACGCAGCAGATAGCCCAGTGTGGCTTTGCTATAACAAAACACACACACATTAAATTTTCTATAACACAACATACACACAGTGTGGGGGAGGACACATGAACTTCTTAGCACTCTCTGTGGAGGAATGAAATGAAAAACAAATGGATGCCACTATAGCAGTATTACATAAACTCAGATGAAGCTGGTACTACAACAACCATAATGCTGTTTCTTGAGTTATACCTACTTCAACCCGTGACATTACAACTTCATCCTGTAAGACACTTCTTTGGCCAATGACTGTCAATTAATTAATAATGAGAAACAGTGTGGAAGGACATTAAGATGTATGTGTTGAAATCAGGTAATAGAAAGCACCCCTACTGCCACTATTTTGTTTGCTACCTCTTCATACAAAGTCACCCTTATCATTGCACAGTGTATGCCATGTTTTAAGTATATACGTAGTGAGCTCTTAAAGCTTATACAAAATTTTTGGTGGGTTAATAATGAGTCTGTATAAATATAATAGTACTGTCTGTTGTATGTCCATATAGCTACTTTGCAGGATGTGGATGAATCTTCACCAAATTTGGTGTGGAGGTTCATTGGGTGCGCAGATAAATATGTACATATTTTCAGTTTTACATTTTGCTGTTTTTATTGGTGTTTTTTAACACTACCTCATCTCCTGTGGATTGATCTTCACCAAATTTGGTATGGAGGTTCATTGGTCCACGAGAAGATGCAATTACATATAAGGGAAATCACTTTTCATGTCCTAAGATAACCTGTTGTTAATCATGAATTTACATAACTTCCATTCAGGGGATGGGTATTCCAGCTAGTACTGGAATAATAAGTTACACTATAAATAAATTGTGTGAAAGTTAGGATTTTTGCATTAATTATCATAACAACCACTTCCCACATTTTTTTAAGTTCATAACCCGGCCAAAGGACAGGTACCTCAGCTTGTTGCTAATATTTTGATTACAGGATATTTGGAAATCCCAATTGTAATTAATTGATTATTCTCATGAGTCATGGCACTAATCATTTGAGTTGAACAACCTTGAATTTAATCAATAATACTAATCAGAAACCATAATTGCAATATGTTGTTTAACTTGATAGTTAGAATAATCAAAAACATTAATAACACAGGTCTGTGATGATTTTATTGTCTTGAAATTTTACATGTTCTACAGTAATTCCTGTATGCTGAATCCAAAAATGATATCCATTTTTCTCTATCAGGTACAGATTTTTCACAAAATGTTGTAATGCAATACATAAAAGAAAGACCACAACACATAGTTTTGAGACCAAAAGACATAGATTTCACAAACAAATCAGGATGAATGAGGATGCATATTCATTTGACATCATTGTTCTTCCCTTTTCTACAGTTTGTTTTTATATTTGTTAACAAACATAATAATAAAAAAATGTTCATTTTTGTAAATGAAATAATAATTTGATCTCAGTAAGTTTTTTTTTCTTCCCGATTTGTAAAATAAATTTACGTGATAGAAAAAATGAATATTATTTTCTCAATCTGCTTAGCTGAATTATGTAAAATCCATTATTAAAACCAAAACAACTTTTATGAAGTTTAAATTCACAGGCCTGTGCAATTGGAAACACTAATTTTGATTAATCAATTATTATACTTGACCCCAAGTGATGCAATTGATGCTTATAAATAATTGAATTAATCATCCAGCTCTCTGTATTAGTTTGGAGATGCAAGTAATCTCCAGATATGTTCCTCGTGTAATGATAAAGAGCAACAGTGAATTTAAGTACATAAGATTAAAATGGAGCCTCACCATGTTTTACAAGTTCATGTTGCTGCATCCAATCAGCTGTGCATGATGAACCTTGAACATAATCCTGCAGCATAGCTTAGATTGCAAAAGGCACCATCATAAGGTTGTCATGTCCAAAAAATACTTTACATTATTCATTCATTCAGTGGCCAAGGGCAACAGTTTCTGAGCTCACAGTTACAGTCCTGTTACACAGAGATCTAACGAATACCTTTTTCATTCTTTGTCTGCATGAGATATGCCAATGTTTAATGGAAGGTATGACTTGAAACTTTATCTTGGTGAACCCATATGTTGTAGGCCTTATTTCTAGATGAAGATGAGATTGTTCTTGATTATGTTGTGAACTGCTACTTGAGACATGTGGACAGCTTTTTCCACTGATATTGTGTTCATAACTTCTCAACTGTTAAAAAACAATGCTCTTTGATTACTACAGTATCAGTACAACTTGTTGCATGTCTCTTTCTGGATGGTTATGGTACATAAAGTTGCTCCATATTCCTTTGTTTTCCAGTGCTATTAAATAAAAGGAATATCTCATCTTGGAAAGTCTTAAATCCCCAATCTGAATACATTTTTATTATATTATCTGAATGTACGAGTATTTTGCATCAGAAATGGGTATTATGTACTTTCCTAAAAGCAGTCAGTTTTTGGTGGTGTCACACTACCTAAAAAAATAACAAACACTGTCAAAATGTGGTTTTGATACATTCCATTCCACCAGAAATGTATATTGACTGCTTTCATGTGGCTTGTTGATTTGTATATTTAAAATTGTTTTATAAAATGCACTCAACCTTCTGTAAATAGATTTTCTTGTGTTAGTAACTAACAGTAGAAATAAGTGTTTGAAAGAAGAATATTTTTTGAGAAATTAAAACACACTGAGTATTTTATTTTATTAATAGGTATGCAAGTTTGTACTTCTGTTGTGCCATAGATCAAAATGATAATGAACTTCTAACTTTGGAAATTATTCATCGTTATGTTGAATTGTTGGATAAATATTTTGGAAGTGTAAGTATTCAAACCATAATACTTTTTTATGTATTATGTGTGATATTATCTGTAAATACCCATTGTACAGTATGCATATTTTATCATGGCACTTTTTGAACAGTTTTATGATGTGCTTTTATCATTATGAAAAATTATTCCTTTATTTGTGTTAGTTATAATTTGACAAAAAATTAAAAAAATATATATACTGATGGTTTTTAACTTAAATCTTGAGGCATCAATATTTATCTACTTCTCATGAATTTGCCAAGATATTCAAAATCTTTAATGATTTTTTTGCTGCCACAACTTTGAAAGATCAGTGAAGTTCATTTGCACATGATATAGTTCACTATGATAAATAATTAAACTTGGAAACTTCAATGTAATTTAAAAACTGCATTATTTTCTGCAACACATACTTAACGTAGATATATTTTGAACCATTCAGCTTGAATATGACAGTTGTTTTTTTCCAGACCTCTTGACAACAATTTCTGTACACATAGATCCAACATTTGAAGATTTTTTGTTGGCTTGCTCAAAAAAACAACAAACTGTTTGTTTTAATAAGTACTGATTAAAAGACATTTGCCTGCTACAACTATAAGAGAATTATGTAAACCTTGCTTAGAGAATTAAAGTTTTTCCCGTGACATTGTTTCCTTATAACTAAGTAGAGAAGGAACATTTATTGGCCACTGAATAATGCCAGGGTATTCATGTCACTGATCAGTCCAAGCAAGATTTCTCAAGTGGCAAGCTCGACTGTGCATCAAGGAGATTGATAGCAGCTGTATAATTGTTGTAAAAATAAATGGGAATTTTGAAGAGTCCCAGATGTATGAATGTAGTTTCACATGAATCTACCAGTTTGGTGATAAATCGGCAATAATGAATTGCTTCATACAATTAACAACTGTCAGTGGTGACCATGGTGATTCCTAGCTAAAGCCTAGCTTTGGAAGGTCTTGTATGTGCATACGTGAAATACATAAAATGCAAATATATCTGCATTTAATTCCATATTAGTTCCATTCTGTATATGCACTGCTTTCACAAAAATTCTGTATCTTGCATATGTGAATCACTTAGAGAAAACAGCTGAGACCCCCCCCCCCCCCAGACTCCAGGTAATACAAGTAATAGTAGTGACATTGCTGTGGAACACACACTGACCAGGTTACCTTAAGGAGATATTGAAGGATATAAGTCTATAAACTTCCAACACAAATGAATTAAGGAATTTTTCATGGCTTATGAAAACCAAAAATGGGTTAAAGTGCAATAAAATGTATGTGTGGAATCCTTGGGGTCAGAGATGGAATGCGTGTCTCCTGCCAAGACTTTTGTGACATCAACACAATGAACTGACTCAGTACTTAGCAAGTAAGGAACATGTAATGTCTTTAATAACATCCTAGGAAATTACATATGACTGCTGCCAATAAAGTAAAATGCACAAACACAAATTGGTTTGAAATAAAATGTTGGTTAATTTGTTTAAAAAAAGTAAGTTGAACAATTGAAAGGTATAAAATATGATAAATAATGGTATAAGTTAAGTTTAAAATAACTTGTATCTAAACTTTAGAATGTTAATAACTTTAAATTTAGGAACTTTGAGAGAGGCTGAAACATTTTGATGTTAAACTTAATGCAAAGTTTTGTTTGGACCCAAAAAGAAGGGGGGGGGTACAGTTACCCCCCAATTCATGAAAGTGATAAGACACACTGTGCTGGCCTTAGCAAGCATGATGCCCCAGACAGCAGAGGTATTAGATCACATAGATAAGTAATAAGTTTTTTTAGGGAAGACTTTCCCATCCTATGAATAAGAACTATTATTTAAAGAAGTTTTTGCTCAGTTTCAAAATGAAGACAAAAAGGATATTTATTAGCAGGTTAGCTTGAAGATGAACATATTTATATATTGTATTTTGTAAACTATGGTGGATTGTGGTGAGTTGATATGATGTAAGATATATTTTTTCATTTAGGCTGGAATGTATCTCTAAAGTGTTTTCATGTATTGGGTTCCCACTAATGACAAAAAATCCTCAATTTGATGCATTTAATTAAAAGGCAATGGCAGAATTTTCTGGTCGACAGCACTAAGACAACCCCCTGTGACTACATGTCCAGATGTTTTTGACAGGGAATAGGTTATATACCTTACTCATAAGCTTATATGTAGTCCTTAGTTTTACTTTAGCTATAATAAATGATCTATTCCTCCTAGCCAACCACATTGTCAAAGATAGTTATTTTGCAGGTTTGTGAATTGGATATCATTTTCAACTTTGAAAAAGCCTATTTTATTCTGGATGAGCTGCTTCTAGGAGGTGAAATACAAGAAACTAGTAAAAAGAATGTTTTGAAAGCAATTGCTGCCCAGGATCTCTTACAAGAGGTTAGAACTTTGTTTATCTTAATTTTCTGTTCATCTGGAGACTTATTATAACTTTATTAACCTTTTTCTTTGGAACACACCCACACACGGGATTGCAAGATACACAACATAAAGTGAAGCATAGTTGATATGCGATTTTCTTTTTTTTACTAATAATTAATTTTTCTGATACAAAAATAATAGTTTTACAAGCAAAGCATAGAAGCCTATTTATTTATATTTTTTGGTGGTCTAGAATTGATTTTCTTTTAAATCATTGCTTAGTTCTGTTATAGCAGTTTGTGGCTAAGAAAACTTTTGCTCTTCAGCACAGTTCCTGGTTAGTACTCTTTTTTTTATGAGCCTTTTATCAAGCATGTGATTATACTAGTAAAAAATCACTTCATCTATAACTTGTGTACAGAAGTAGTATAGAAATATCCAAGTATATGATAAAGATGGAACTTTATGCATAAGAAAATAATATATAATTAAAACAATTATTTTTTAGAAAGTATAGAAAATATTCATAATTAAACAATAGTTTACTTTACTGCTTTGAAATAAAACTCAGTACAATAACACAGTGTGAGGAGTAATTTGTATATGCCTATACATGTAGTGTACGATTGGTTTTGAAATCATTCATGTCTTACAAGTTAACATCTTTGATGTTTGAAGTTTTTATAACAAATAACGTGTTTTGCTTCTTAAAGGATGATGCAGTTGAAATAGCACTGAAAGAACTGGGACTTGTGTGACAGAGCAACTTTCTTCAAGAACCATTAAGAGCGGCTGAACTGGTTTCTTTGCACAACTCCTATATTATAGCATGGTTAGATATGTCTATAACTAGAAAATGAAACCAAGAATATCTTAGCAATATTTCAGCAAAAATCATTTGAACTTTGTGCCTACCTGGGGTCAGTGTAAAATCATATCCCAGCTATTTCTTATTTATTTAATTATTATTAAGTGCCAAAAGTTAAGTGTTCGAATATTTATTGTTGCACAGTTTTTATCACAGTTTCAAATCTTTTTATTTACTCACTGTTATTGAACAAAAAAAGGTGAACTTTTATCAGTTTACTCTGTATTTTTTGTGTGTATTAAAATAAGAAGTTGATAATGTAGTAATTTTCTTGAAAGTTATTTTAGTCTTGCATCTGAAAATTTGATAAACCAACACTTAAGGATTTTATTTACAAATCACTCTTGCAACTTTAAGTCCAAACACCAATGTTACACCCTTTATTTATACTTCAGAAAGCCTCCTCAATTATTTTGTTTACATAAAATGTCTATAACGCAGTAAGAAAGGAAGATACTATAAGCAATAAGGGAATGCCTGCTATATAATATCTAGAAGGTTGCAAAAATCTCACTTCTTTTCTCCAAGTGAATGGTTTTTGTTTTTCTTTCAGATGTTAAACAACTTTAAATCATCATTAAAAGTAAAGAACTATCACACTGACACCATTGTCTAATTATGAACAACACAACCACAAAAGTGATGAATAACAACACATTTATCATATTCACCAAACTGTTCTACGAGTACCACACAAATCCAGCTGAGAATTGCCTGTAAATCAATTAGTTAGATGAACATTTTTTCCATGTGAATGACTTCATTCTTAGTCCACTTTGTTCATGAATCATTTATTCATATACATGTGGTAGCTGCAATACTACCTACATTGGCAAAACTAAATGCCATTTAACTGTATGCATCCATGAGCACATGGAAATTTCTGTAGAACTGGTCACCCTTTATCATCTCCCTGCACCTCTTATATTCAAACATACAGTCAAACTAATGGACACAAAATCTCTTTAACTGACTTTAAAATTTTAGTTATGAGCCATATAGACTTTAAATTTTACTAGTTCATTTAGTGTGGGTCTATTTTATTTCCAAGTTTCACTCACTGGCTTTTATTATCCCCTTCTACTTACAGTTGTTTACTGTAGTACATAAGCTTTTGTTCAACATTCAAATGATTGTAATTAATTTTTGTGTTTATTGTAGTAATTTTCTGAAGGTGGAATGTGCATATTCCAAAATGCCCAATAATTATGTTGTTTTTATCACTTTTATGTTTCCCAACTGGTGACTCAGCAGTACATAGGAGTGCTTATACTGCTAAAATTTGGGTTTCAATATCTACAATGGGCAGAGCGAAGATAGTCCATTGTTTAGTTTTGTGTTTAACAACACACAAACTTCTCTGGCTGTATTGTTCATTACTAGACTAAGTTTTCCACATCATGAATTTATTGGCATCATTGTTTTTTGTCTACAGATTGTATAAATATTTGCTATTACCAAATATTAAATATGTTTCATCCAATTTCAAGTGTACAATGTCTTTGTTAATTGAATGTTGTGATTGACATGTCATATTCCATTTTCAATACAAAATGTATTCACTTTGAAAATATATATAATAACAGTTGTATTGGAGAAGTTGTTATTAATGTATTAACGGTGAGTAATTTCCAGTCAGTTTCATTATTATATGTACATAGGTTGTATGGACTTGCCTACTTCAGGTGTTAGATCTGAAACAAACCATCTGATATACATACATACATACATAAACCTAGTATTTGCTTTTGAAAAGAATAACACAAGACTTAAATATTCACATGTTGTTTTAATAAATGTGAAGAAGTTATTTCATTAAATTGTTTTGAAAATTCATTTTTTGTTGTAAACCTTCTGTGATAAAAGAAGTGATCTAACTACTAAAGCAGAAAAATTCTCCCTTTTTCTCATAATTTATGGTGAACACACATTTAAAGAGACAGAAACTTAACAGTAACAAAAAAACTGATACATGAGAATACAGAAATGATGGGTACTTGATATAAACTTCTGTTAAAGTTTAATCTTCCTATAACTCACAAATGCCATTCAATTTCATATATTTTTGCAACCCTGTATTATGGTGAATCATAATGTCATAAATTCTGTCTATTCCCTTAGTGCTTATACTTCTTTCAAAAGTCATTACTTCTTAAACTTATTTTTGTACTATTAATACTAATATTATACAGTATTTTCATAGTGCATATTATAGCTTCTGGTTGTTCCATTATTATTTGCCATATTTCTCATGTATGTATTCTATTATTGCATGTTTTAAGTTTTTCTCTGCTCTTTTATTACTTGTTATACTTCATTATATTAGTACATGTCATAATCTGTTTGTTTCCATTTGTCTTTTACTTTCTGTTGTAGCTTGTTGTGTTCTGGTACTACCATCATAGTTCTTGCATATTGTATTGCTTCTGGTTATTACTTGTGTATTTCATACTGTTTTTCATGCCTTCTCTGTATTACGCACTGTTTATTGTATACGATAATGTTATTTATTCTTTCTTACTTAATGGCAAATAAATTTTCAAAACAAATATGTCCTTAATTCTCTTCAGTTTTTAATTTGTTGTTTTTAAATAATGGGATATCAAATTAAATGATTCATAAATGAGAATGTTTAAAATCTAGTCTAGATAAGTAGATAGTTAGTGTATTAGCATACTTTATTTCATAGAAAATTGACCTTCAGTAAAAGCAGTGACCTGGTTTTTTGTTCATTTTTATGAAATTACCATTTTATTTAAAGTCAACAGGAATTTTCAGTGCTTAGTATCAGCATTATTCTGTTGTTGCTGTTGATACTGTAAATTACATTTTGTTGTGCCAGAAAAAATTATGACAACTGAATCAGTATTTTATATTATAAAATTTATTGGTACATTTACTACTTTGTTACTATTGTTTCTAAATGACAAATGAAACATATAATTGTTTTTCTGTATTTTTGTTATAATGAGTATTCTACTAAAAATTGGTTTGAGTATTAGGTTTTTTTCTGTACACTTGCACTTCACTTATAAGTAAATTTTGATTCACAATTGATAATGTTGTAAAATGTTTTCTTTTTACTATTTTCATCTCAGATGTTTACAGATAATTTGCCAAGTTTGACACTCAATACAGTACTGTACACAGCATTAGTTCTGACAAAAAGGTTACTTTCATACTTGATTTTGGCCATTAACAGTAAGTAGTAGTTACGTGTTAAGAAATAGTAGTTAAAATTACCTGTAGTTTTGTTCTGTTTTAGTTAGTGGGGCTTGCTTTTATCTTAGAAAACTCATAACATAATGTTTAAGGACAGTAAGGGATCTATTGGTCCATCTAGGCAGTCCCATCCTCTGATCTAATTTAAAACTATTAAATAAAAGAAAATATATATAATAATAACAATGAAAACCTCAAAGCCAGCCCTTATCATTGATTTGTAAGGCAAGATCTTCCCTTAGTTTAAACCATGTTGATTATCCAATAAAATACTAAGCTTTGTTAAATGAGTTTGCAAAGGATTTTTTATCAGACTTTCTTAAACTTTACCCACAACTGTTGTAAGAGTAATGGGCTTATAATTACTGGACAATTTTTATCACCTTCCTTAGAAAGAGAAATAACATTAGCCAACTTACAATCCTCTGACACATGCCCACTATTCAAGAGACTACACAAAATAGTAACAAGTGGCTTCCATATCCAATCCTTAACCTCCTTCAAAACCCTTGGGGAAATATTATCTGGCCTAGAAGCCTTGTCATTCTTTAAACTTCCCAATTTTTTCTTAATCAGCTCAGAATTAACATGATCATCTTGGTTGACCATGTTTCCATCTATCAACTGTTCAAGATGAGGAATTTTGCTTAAATCTTCATTAATAAAACCTGAAGAAAAAGCAGAATTTAATAACCCAGCCATCTCATAATCATCAGACATGAGCCTTCCCTTATCATCCCTAAAAGATACTCCCCCCCTCCATCCTAACATTTTGTTTACCATTGATGTATTTAAGGAAATCCTTACTCTTAATTATTACGTTTTCAGCCAACATTTTTTTCACACATCCTCTCTGATGTCCTAATTTCCTGTTTGATCAACTTCCTTGATATTCTATAATTTTCTAAATCTCCAATCAAATCAGTCAATTTAAATTTCTAAAATTTATTATGCTTTTCTTTCATTTTATTCCTTATACTCTTTGAGAGGCAACCTGGTTTTTACTTACAGCTACCCTTTTCTTTCTGTAAGGAATATGTTTACCTCGAATATTTCAAAATTTATGTTTAAATATTTTCCACATCTGAATAGTGTCTCCAAATAACTCTGCTGCCCAATTCACAACAAATAATTATTGTTGCATCCTTTCAAAATTTGTAATCAAAATATCATTATTTCTGATCTCCATGTGCAGCAAAATAACTAACCTAATACAGCAATGATCACTTGCACCCAGATGTTCCCCAATTTCCACCCTCTCAACAATTTCTGTTTTAGAAGTTAACAATAAATCTAAAATAGCAATGGTAGGTTCTTTGACCAATTGGTGAAGATAACCATCTTGAACAGTTTCCAAAAATCTTTCTCCCTCATGGTTTGACTCTAGCATTTCCCAATCTGTATGCCTGAAATTTAAATCCTCTATAATTATGACCTCATTAACAGCTGAACTCTTAATCTCATTGTAAAGTTTCTCATTAATTTCATCAGTATCATCTGGTGGTCTGTAACAAATTCCCACTAAAAGCCTTTTCCATTTCTGACTTTTTTACCTGTTTGTGTAATTTTCTTTGTCTTTTTTTTATCCTTGTCTTTAATACCTGGATTCCCTTTCCCTATATCATTAGCCCTATGTACACAATAAAAATTGCATCTCTGCTAGCCCCCTTTATTATATCTCCTGCTCTGTCAGTTATATCCTTCATCCCTGCCCTTGAATAGCATAATCTAATTATTTTCTTCCTATTTACCCCACAGACTATCCTATCCACATCCCTTGTGAAGGAATCACCTATAACTATAACCTCCTTAATTTTATCATTCACATCCATCTCTGTCCCATTTGTTTTCCTTCCCTCCAATAGTTCCTCATCTGCACAAGCCAAGGGCTGAAATCTGTCACTTAATAGAACATACTCATTACAACTAAGTCCATTATTTTTAGCTCTAATAGTGCTGTTTCTAATGTCCTTAAAGTCATTGTTAGATGATGTATTTCTTGCATGTAAAAGCTTAAGTTTCTCTTGAAATCCTGCTGCCATTTTCTACAGTCTACACTTCTCTTTATCTATTGCCTCCAACCTGCAAACTCTACAAATAAATTTCACATCTTCACTGCTAGCTTTTTTAAAAGTACATACAAGTCCAGAGCTCCCAAAGAAAACTCACTCATTGCACCCATCACACCTAACAAACTGTGAATGCTTAACTCCTACACTAGTCTTAACCATTATATTTGTGGCCTGGGAATAATAAAAGGTATATTCTAAATGCTGCAGTTATACATCTTTCCACTTCCTCTACATTTTTTGTAGGTTCATGCATGATTTCAAATGTTTTTCTCTCTTTTTTTTTGTATTTTTGTTAGATATTATGGAACTTTTGGAACATATTAGAACAAGTCTTCTTTTTTTCATTCATTTGATGTGGTTGAGTTCTTTAACCAGATATGGCTTCGTTAGATCTGATATAAAGCTGGCTTGTGTACATGATTATTAGGAATTATTGTATATGTATTTTGATTGATTTTTCTTCATAGTTTGGTAAGTAAAGCATATTTCTGAAAATATTTCTGTAAAACAGTAATTGTTATTAAGATTGATACATGCATGCCATAGATGTAGTGGGGGAGGGGGGTTGCTATCCAACCCCTAAATTTCAGAGAACATAATTTACGAAACAAATCATTAAGTCTTGCTCACCACACCCTACTGCCCAAATGTTTTTTCTGTCTGTGGTATTGAAAAAAAGGTTGAAATGGTTATTTAGTTTCCAGGTAATTTGCATGGTTATGCCATATATATGCATATGTCAAGTAATTTATAAGATTGAGATTCTTTTATATAATAAGCCTAAACTGCTATAAAGACAGAGAGAGATAAGTATATATGTGATGTTCTGTAAATTTAAAGTAACTGATGTCACTTTCTTGTTTAGAATACCAATATAGTCTTCATTAGAAATGTAGTGAAATTCAGAATTATGTTAAAGTATATATATATATATAATATAAAGTGAAATGACTGAGGCTAGTTCCAAGTTGTCACTATTTTTGTAGTGTTTAGTAAATAGAAGTGTGTGGTGGTGGTGTGTGTGTGTGGTGTGGGGGGGGGGGGTATGTTTTAAAGTTATCTGTGATTATCTTTAGGACTTAAGTCACTGTATATTGGTAGTTTTAGGTGATATCAATGATCATCACTCAAGAATGGATGTAGTTATGGGGAATGTTTAAAAATACTAATTTGTTTGTATTACCCAGTAGGGTACAGGATGTTTTGCTGAACTTATATTTAGTCAGTATTTGATAAAAAAATAAATAGTTCAAACTTCCAGCACCTTTGACTTGTTTCATCATACAAGTTTTCTTCAAGTCTTCATTTTTCTACAGATGCTTAGTTGTAGTTGGCAGTGTACAATGTAACAGTCAACACAGGGCTGTGGGTTTTTCACTTGTACTCTTGTCGTATGGAAGCTTTAGTACAAATCATATAATTCAGTAAATTGAGCTTGTTCCTTTAATCAAGAGCAACACTTAGTAAGATACAGGCTAAGAAATGGCTAATATTGTTCAAGATTATTTTAATGTTATTTTTGTAAAAATTTTGGTAAAATATAAGTGTGAATAAGTAAATTCTTACGTATGGTTTGGTTTCAAATAATCATTTATAATTCCAGTTTTTCTTCTATCTAATATCATTGGACAGTATTGTAGTTAATACTGAACTTTGAAAGTTTCCATAAGATTGAGTAATATAATTGTGTTCCAAGTCTATATGTATGTATATATATGTAGTCATTTATAAAGAGAATATTTTTATGAGAAAAATTATTTTAGACCTTTGTTTACTTTTAAATTCAGTTTTCCTATTTAAAAGTTACTTTAAAGACATGAAAGT